GATTTTCCTTTTTTTGGCAAGGTCACCATAGCAGAGTACTGCTAATATCTTCTTTGTTAAATCCTTTCACTAAACAACCAACCATCTGATTCATAGTTTGCCATGGAAGCCCTGATCTTTCCCTTTTTTTCCCCCAGTTTCTATAGCAGCATTACCTAGGAACCTCGCTGCTGGGTACTGGGCAGATGCTACATTTACTTACTCACACTGCACAAACTAAAAATTCTGTTGCGCTCCCTGGCTGTAAAGTTACCATCAGTAGCTCCATGGAATAAAGAAACAGATCTGACTAGGAAGAATGTCCCAGTCTCTGCAATCTACAGTGGAATCGTTGACATGCAACACTAGCCACCCGTTACAACCCCTAACTCCTAAACGAAGGAGTGCAAGTTAGAAGGAGAAGTTGGGGAAAGGATTTTGGCTTTTATATCCAAGCTCTGTCACCACCTTTTTCTACTTTTACTATTTCTTTCCTTAATTAAATCTTAGACATTTTACACTCTTTGAAGAAATTCTACCGTGCTCCTAACAGAACCTGTAAAGCTCATCTAGTCTCCGCTTTAAACATTTTACCTTTTCCCTTCTTCCATTCCCTACAAGATTGTATCTTTTGAGCCCTGGAATATTTGGTCAAGTGACCCACTGACACAATGCACAAAACTTCTTATTGAACTCAAATTACTTTAAGAATACAGGTGTTTTCAAACAACATGAAATTCAGAGCAGTAGTAACAGCGCAGAAATGGGGCTGGGGAGTAACAGCGGAAAGGGCACAGAGAGTAGAGCAACGTTCTCTTGGAGAGGAAGAAAACGGGATGTGAAATCTCTGTCACAGCAACTTTCTCTGATGCAATCTCTCCAAAGTCTTTCCCCTCTCAGGCTAAATGCAATATTTATTGATTACCTCAAATCAATACAATGAAAAAAATCCTATTTTTTAAATATATTGATCTTTCCATATTTCTCAATAATTGATAATAATTAGATCATCTTTACTTTTACAAGTAGAATTGGAAGAGGAGAGAAAAGTTAATATAAATACTTTAAAAGTACCAATTCCCTCATCAGCCGTGTGCTCAATAACCTCAGTGTACAGAGACCCCATTCTATGACGGGAACCTTGTCAGGAACCTGGTAACTAGGCCACTTCCCCTACAGAGGTTTTTCTATTTATTCTGTCAATAAAACAAACAACTATTTCCCCATTCTCCCCAATTAACAACTCCTCCCTATCCCAGACTTTCAGAGATACTCAGAGCAGACAGTTGCGTTCAGCTTCTCTGACTCAGATTTCCTCCCATTCACGGAATATGGAGATTTCCAGTAACCTCTGAAATCAAGTCACATTTCCTCAGTCTGTGTGTTAGAGTCAGTGACAACAACTTTGTTAATTCTCTGCCGCAGGGTCTGGAATTTGCTCCTTCACTGACTTTCAATTCCAATGTTACACCTTTCCATCTCTATCAAACATATCACTTATTCAACTTTTTTCTTCTGTTCATAAAATAATTTTAATTTTTATCAGATCAATGACTCATGTGTCTTTCTCGCACATCAGAGGAAACAGTGTAAGAGACATAGCATCTGGCAGGATGCCCTCATTTGCCAATGATTTTTATTTTCCCTTCATGGTGATTCCTTGGTCAGTTTCTGTCTGTCATGTAGAATATTAATTAGAACCAGAGATGGCAATTTTGTAGTCCTATCAACATTTCTAGTAGCTACTATAACTAGGCAGAAAAAATTCCTCTGGGATGTGGAAGTTAATACGGAAAAGTAAAAATGTCATTTCACTCTCCTTTCAAACAGTATAGGTTTGCATATGAGAGAGACGCAACACCAATATTCAGTATGACCATACATATGTATGTGCATATACCTACACATAAATATTTATAGATGCACACATGTGTTTGTGTGTGAATATAATCACACCTTTTATATGTCAGAGCGTACATTTGTGGTGCCTGCACAGGCATTCCCTTCCTGCGGTACTGCAGACAGACGTTGTCAGTACAGTGTAACTAATGTATTCTCGCCATATGCCCTCACCTGAGAGACAAACTGCAGGTACAAATCATTGCCTTTGTTAGTTTCCCAATTTGAACTCGTACAAAAGCGTCTTCCTTGGAGCTGCATCACGTACCCCAGGAACAATTCTCCCAAAGGTCAGTACCAAAAGGTAATAAGCGGTTGCTAAAGAGTGGATTCCTATGCAAGAAACGAAATGCATACGGTGCCTTAGGACACATGCACAGAGGGTCAACATTAGGAGAAAGCATTTTCTTACTCTCCCTGCAAGATCCTGCACCAAGGGAGACCACACAACCCGCTGACCAGAACTTCTGCAGGTTCCTGCTGTAATCGCTCCGATCAACACACGCAGGCAAAGGAGAGGGAACTTCCACTGCTTGAAGAAGTCAAATCCAAAACCTGAAGAGTGGGATTAGGGACAATAAATTCCTTTGCTTAGTTTTTGTTCAGACTCTTCTTGGGTCTGACTGTTACAAAAATTAAGTTCTCCTTAAACTCCAAGGTGAAGGGTGTCACCTCTTCTCTCCTTTGCCTTGTTCATTTTCTCTCTCAATAACTGCAAGGTGAAATAGTTTCCAGGTAACTATATGGATCACGTACTGAGCGATCACATCCACTTCTCTTCCTACATTCTACTCTTCCTTCTGTTTATTTCCTATAGATTAACAAGCAACTAAACAAGTAGTTTGCAGTATTTTTAAATTCACTCTTAATTTAAGGTTTGACAAAAATTGCTGTCCACATAATTAAAAGCAGTATTTAAAAAAAAAAAAAAAAAAAAAAAGGAAAATAACTATTAAAATCTTTTCAAGGGCTAGCAGCCAGAAGAGTAAACCAGTACAATAAGGATAATATGCTCAGAGTTAGGTAGCATTACAGGCACAAATGCAATACCTGTATTTACATTTTATGTTCACAATATAATTGTGCTACAGTAGGAGAAAAAAAAATGGCTAAAGGGATATACATTGGGCTAACTTTTATCCTCAGTTACAGGAATGGAATCTGAAATCTAACTTTAACAAAACCAGAATGCAAATCAAATCAGTACCTGACACACTGCACATACACCTTTAAATATACTGTATTTTTAAGGTTTCTCACATCTTTTCCTTCTCTCAGTAACTTTTTCCAGACCTAGCCATACTTCCCTGAATTGTTGTACTCCTTTAATTAAAAAAAAAAAAAAAAAAGTATTTTTTTAAAGAAAGATTGAAAAGTCAAGGTTGAGATATTCTGAATTATATTTCTCTGTCTCTCTTCCCCAACCTCAACAACATTAAAGAGAAGGTTAGTTGGCACACAACATCAAGCCAAGCACATCTCTGAACAAAGAGCTCTCCAACAGTTTCTCACCTCAAAAAGCAGCACACTCTGCTGTAAAGCTATAGGGGCTCAGTGGCACTTCCCCCAAGGCCACCTTCATCTGTCTACTCAGTGGCCAAAGAGTTGTGAATATGGGTAAGGTGCATTTGACATTATCGAGAGCTGACTGAGAGCCCATGGAAAAGTAAAAGGGGTGAACAGTAATACAACATGCAGACTACTTTCTACTATTTTCATGTTGTTTGAGTTTCTTTTTGCAATTCCAAAAGTAGAAAAAATAAAAGGTAAAAGTTAAGGGACAATATAGAAAGTGATGAAGATCTAGCTTTTGACTGCGGCATTTTGTTTTTATTTTTTTTTATTTTGTAATGAAGGTAAATGCACTTTCTATTTTTGCCTTAATATCAAGACTCCCAGCAGCATAGAGAACACATTTCCCTTAAGAAACTATTTGTTTATTTTTAATTCAAAATGGAGCAGCCACAAGTGAAGAACCAGTGGGGAAAAGAAAATCACATGGGTTAGATTATTAATTTCTATTAACAATACTAAGTCTCATTTTAATGAAACTGCTGGAAGCAGGGGATTAAAGGAAGAAGAAATGAGTGTAAGGACAGATGGAATATCAGGAAACAAGAGAGACAGACAAATAAAAGACAGCTGTAATGAGGAGAGGGGGGTCAATATCATTGTGGGGTTTTTGCTCAGTTTTAATTGGTTTAATTTTACTAAATACAATGTGTTCTTAAAAGCAATGAAATAGGCAAGATTATTTCACTCCCACCCCTGATGACACCACAGAACCTGCGTAGGTGACACACAGATTAACATGCAAACACACAAAAGGGGACTCTGCGCACGGTGAGATTTATCGGAGAGGAGAAATGCATTTAAAATTAATTGCTCCAGTCAGCTGGATACAAACGCTGAGAATATTTTGCCTTGTTTCCTAACTTCCCCAAAAGGATCAAAGCAAACACGATAAAGTGATTTTAAACACAGCATTACCAGGCACAGCCCACTTCGGAATACAAAGAGCAGTAGCAGGTGCTAAGGTATCAGCCACCGGTCCCAGCTCGGGATGTCTGCTTGCCAGCCCTCCGACTCACTCCACTCTTTCCCCGGGCAGGCTATCCAAACAGTAAGCTGTGGGAAACTAAATTTCCATAGGACATTTCAGGTGAAAAACGGACTTTTTTTTAATCAAAGACGGTGCTTTAATGGATCTACTTTGTGTCATTTTATATGCACATCTCTTTGCAGACACCTAGTAATTTATCTCATAAAAATCCTAGCACAGACGGAAAGTAAAACTGCGCAGAAAGGACTGTCAGTGCTCACTGTTAGCTGCCTGTTCCTAGGAGATGAAGCATTAGAGGCAGAAGTTACAAGGCAAGAAAAACACACCAACGCACCGGCCCCCCCCGAGCGCTCCTCCGCCGCACCTGCCCGCGCAGAGGTGCGCACCGCCCTGCCCGCGGCCGGCCGCGCACGGCCACACGGCCCACGCGGTGTCCCGCGGGGGCGGGCGGATCTGCGGCAGGGAGGCAGCGGGACTGCTGCCCCGTCCCACCCGCAGCGGGACGCAGCGCCGGTCCCAGCCCGCCCGGTCCCGGCGCGGCACAGCGCGGCACACTCACTGGTTGTGGTAGCCGAGCGGGTCGGAGATGCACAGCTCGGAAATGTCCATCAGTCCAGTTTGAGCATTCCCGGTTGGAGGAGAAAAAGAAAAAAAAAAAAAAAAAAAAAAGAAAAAAACAGAAGAGAACAACTAAACTGCGGCGGGCAGGGAGAGCGGGGAAGCCCGGGAAGAGAAGCGGCCCGAGCCCGGCGGCGGGGCAGAGGCGGCGGGGAGGCAGCGCCGCTCCGCTCCCGCACCCGCGTGCGGACACACTGACGGCGGCAGGAGGCGGGCGGCGCGCAGGACACGGCCACGGGGGATTTCGCCGCCCCGAGCCCCGCTGTAGCTTTAACGCCGGGAGACGGATGGAGACGGCAGGGCGGCTATTGGCTCTCGCGCAGGGGCTGGGCTTGGAGCGCGGCTGGGGGAGGCACGGCCGGGGGGGGGGGGGGCCGCCGGACACGGCACCGGCACCGGCACCGCAGCGCGCCAGCCGGCGCCGCGCTCCCCCGGGCCGGGGCCGGAGGAGTTGGGGCCGCGGAGTTGGGGAGGGGTGTGAGATGGGGGCGGTGCGGGCCGCAAGCCGGGCGGACCCTGGCGCTGCGGCGACGGGGCCGCCGGCAACGCGGGGTGGGGGGGGACGACACGGAATGGCAGCCCCAGCCCGGTCCCGCCACGGGAACCGTCGCGGCGGCAGCGCACGCTGCGCGTCCCTCTTACCCACGCGGCTGCCTCCCGTGGGCACCGGCGGCAGAGTTTGGGGTTAAGCAGAGCCGGGGTTGAGGGGTGCCCCGCGGCCTGCTCGCAGCTGCTCGCGCCCGCCCGGACAGCGGCCCACGTGCGCGGCACCACACACACACACACACATCACCCCCGCGCGCCGCGCGGCACGTGCGTGGCACGGGCACCGGTCCGCGCAAACGCCCGGCTCCGCGGGCGCGCGGGCAGGGACCCGCGTCTCGCGCGGGCGCAGCCTCGTCCCCGCAACCGGCCCCCGTTCCCCCCGCAGTAGGGCGCGCAGGCAGGGGAGCGCCCCGGCCCCCTTCCGAAGCGGCGCGATTCGGATGTCACTTCGGTGCAGCTTACGAAACCGCGCTGGGATAAATCCTGGCGCCTGAGCGCAGAATCAGGCGTTCAGGATAACGGCGCCAATTCCCAGGCACAAAAAAACCCCATAGATACAGACCCTCAGAAATCTTCGCGAACATCAAAACTGGCACCCACCGCCAGTCTCATGAAAGACACGTTTTCAAAGCCCTGCGTATGTACCGGCTGCTGTTAGCGTCGGTGTGCTTTCACAGCTCCCGCATGCATTTTCACACTCGTACAATTCCACTGCGTGTTTACAGCCACGTACCGATACCTACCTGCAGGCCCCTCTCCACAGGAGCCCGCGAGCCGCTGGCGTGTGTGCGGGGCACATGCAGACCCGCACAGAAAGCCTGACTCACGCAGAAGTGCCCTGTGGGCTCTGGGTGTCCCTTGCTACCTACTCTTCCCCCTTCCAGCCTGCACTCACTCTTCTCTCTCCTAGGCTTCTACTTCATGTTTAGATGCCCACTGCTCAAATACATTAAAATATACTTAGCAGATAAACAAGAACTAGAGGCCTTTTTAAAAGGAAAATACACACAAACACACCTGGATAAAAGCTTCATTCTCTTATGCCAGGCAAATAAAAACAAAAATGTAGGAACTAAAATGATATTTCTTAATATAAAACCCAGAATCCAATTTGAGGCAGGAGTGTACAACACTGGGAGAAGTGAAGGGCAGACTAGAGCTTTTCAGATGAGGAGGGCGATACAGCATAGAAGAAAATGCAGTGTGGTTCAGCTATGAACATGGCAATAAATACTGACTAAATTACAGGCTAAAACTTTTCATACAATCAGTATTTGCAGAAACTTGAGAATACTCAAGAAAGAGGAATGGCCAAATTCACAGCCAGCGTAAACTGTCCTTGCTTTACTGAAGTAAGTACAACTTTACTGAAGTGCAACTTCCTCACTACCTCCTCTACCAGAGACCTTAACAAATGCCGTACAAACCAGTGGTATGCCCTAGCATGTCCCCAGGCTGGGTGAGGATAAGCGGTGTGATTCTGATCGATCATTCTTAAGACGGGACAGCCTAAGGATGTCAAAACAGAGGTCTTTTATGGCGAAAGGTACACATGAAGATGGCACAGAAAACAGGTTAGTTTAGAAAATGGGGGACAGAGAGGAGACTCATTCAGTTTTAAGAGTACAGCAGAACCTGATTACCTGAATGTTGCAGGTGACACAATTCAGACTATACAGCTTCCCAGGAAGCAGAGTTAATGCAAATGGACCATATACGTATATACTTTTGTATGCCTAAGTGATCTATCTGCCTAGCAGAAACTTTAAAATGCTTTAAATGTTGAAGAAACAGAAGGCAAAAGCTTTAGTAGGGCATTAGCATTAGTTGGGCCCAAGATTATAAGCAAGGGATCTCATCAACCACATCGGAGAACACCTGACCAAAGCAGAGACAAGAAAGATGAAACCATCACCGCTGTGTTTCCAACAGAAATTTGAGGTCAGAGAGGGACTCACTGATGACCTGGTTGTCCCATGAAGAAGATTCCTGATGCACAGTAGCAAGAGAGGCTGGAGCAGGCACACAGGGTCAGGGCCTGGGCGGGCTACAGTTCAAGAGCAGTCAGGGTGTTTGCAGTGAGCTGATTTTGATGGAAAACACTTTTCTCCAGAAAGATGTGCCCTGGCTGGATCCTGACAGTGCAGAGGTTAGCTCTGGTGTGGGCTCTCAGTGGATGGAAGACCAGGGTGGGAATGGCCTGGCAGGCAGGTCCTGCTCTCCCAATAGCTGATGTTTTAATTTTGCACTTTTATCTTTTATCCAGGCTGAGGTGAGGCAAGCCGGGAGCCATGTGATTGCCTGGCACAAGGTCCACAGGGCTGAATTAACTGATATAAGCATTACAATGGTGGGTTTGTACTCTGGAAATAGGCTGCTGCTGACAGAGGACTGCCTGGGTAGGGTGGGTATTTACAGAATGGTGCAGAAATGTAACATTAATCTCCTCTGACCCAGTGCAAATGGACAAATGGAGCTTCTCCTGCCTTGAGAGTAGCTGTGTAGCTTCCTGGCTCTTCCTTTCTGAGAAGGATAGAAAGGAATAGTCTTTGATGGCTGGGCCTGATCTGCCAACCTGAATTCCCCAAGAAAGAGGACAAGAGCCCTGCAGGCTGATTTTGGAACTTCAGAAGGCTTCATCTTCTTTTGCAAACCCCTCCACATGCAGCACTTGCTGAGCAATTCTCATAGCTTTAGCCAATTTCTCTTTCCCCTCAAAGAATAATGAAGGAAACGCTGATCTCAACATGGCCATCCTTCCGATATGTGTGTTTTTTAAACAAGTACCAGGACTGTAAAATTAGTCTGACAGATCTAGAAGCCAAAAACCTTAGTTTGGGTAAATACAAGGCAGAACTACACATGCAACAGCAGTACTGGCTTGCCCTGTGAGCACAGCCTTTGTTTGCTGTCCTGAATAAATCCTGCTCTGGAACTGCTGCTCTCTTGCTGAGGAAGGGCAGGAACAGTCCCGGCCCTCTGAGCAGAGCACACCCACAGCTGCTCTAGTGCATGCTACCCATTGCGATGCCTTTCATGGGGCAGCCTCTGGCTTTTGAGGTCACCAGTTCTCACACCTGGTCCAAATGCAGAGCAATGACTTTCCATCCATGTTAGCCTCAGACAGAGCACAATCGGAGTGCTATAGGCTGATGGAGCTATATTCAGTAGCAATTCTTTGAGACATGCAGTCCTCCTCCCCAGGAAGAAAGCAAGAGTTGCAAAGACATCTCTTTCTACTTTTGCTGGCTCTTCCAAGAGACGATGGATAGAGACTTTCCCCCCACCCTTTAATGACTAATCTGGTTTTGATAGATTAATTTTTTACTTTTTTTAACTTTCAGCATGGAATAATGATCAACTTTCCAGCAAGCTGCCTGATTGACTGACAGAAATTTCATTTGGTCTAATATAGGAGTAACCTGCAAATCATGCCAAACAAACTTGATTTCACTTGTTGATAAGGCTAGATTTTGTGAATAAGGAAAATGCAGCAGAGGGAGATATCTAGTTACTTTGGGGGTTTGGGGATTTTTTTCCCTTTTATGAAGGCCCTATTATTGTAGTCTCACAAGGAAGTCAGTGAAGTGGTATCTACATAGAGAAAAAACCATACATAATAATTAGGAGACCTAAGCTGGGCAGAACAGCCTTGCGTACACACATTCTTACCTTGTCTGCTGGGGAAAGAGGAGTTCAATGACAACAAGATCTTTCCCAGCCCCTGTCTCATATAAGGAAAGAACAGTTACAGAGGGGTCATTGTGACGAGTTTAGAAGACAACCCTTTCACACTTTTGAGGCCAATAGTACTGCTTAGACTTCACACAGGTCACTGTGTTGCATGCCTGATCCCTCTGCTTTGCAAGGCTAGTAACCCTGGAGAGAAACTTAGGTCCCCTGAGCACAGGTCCCTGAAAGCTGGTAGGCTTTCACCTATATCCCATATATACCACATATATCCCCTTCCATTCCAAACAGTTATCCCAGATACAGGCTCTATCCATAAGGACAAACCAGCCTTCTTTATTTTGGGCTCTGTTCTATTTTCCCTTACTACACCCAGACAAAACAGTTTGCTCTCCCCACCAAAGGCAATGTCTTCTTTTCTACCAAACCCCAATAGATTGTTTTGTCCCAAAACCACTAATTGGCCTTACAAACAATATGCTTCCATTTAAAAGGTATCATCCCCCATCACTGCTGAAGTTCAACATGTATTTAAAGCAAGGTTTTCACATTGTAATTTTTAAATAACTGCCCATCTGAACATCCTTAGACATGCTTCAAGCATTACCTAGTCTTTAAAACACCTGTGTTATAATTTGCAACCTATAGACTGCCAAATCATATCATAAAAAGGTTATGTGGCTTGCCCCAGACCAATCTGAGCAAATGTGTAGCAGGGCAAGAGTCTGAATACAAGCATCTTAACCCTTACTGTCCTGTTTTGAACGAGAATTCAAAGGTCCCAAAAGTGTGACCTTTCATTAAGTTCTGTGGTTGGTTACAACAGTGTTAGGAGCTCTGAGATAAGACAAACATAGTTCCTGCATTGTCAATGAAAAGTCAAGGCTTTCTTTTAATAACCCCTATTTTTGTAAGGCCAGTGCTGGTTTGTGTCCTTCTATACCTGCCTTTGTCTTTGCAGTGTTAATAATCAGGACTCTATTTCCAGAGCAGAGCATGTTCCTGCTGACATCTTGGATGA